GGGAACTTTTTGGCGTTCCCTTGGGGGGGTCTTGGGGCCCTGTGTGGGCGTATGGGGGCCCAGGGCTCGGAGTGCCAGGGTTTTTCCCCGTTCTTTGGCCCCCTCTTGGGCCTGGCTTGGGGTCCTCTGGGGCCGTCTTGGGCGCCTCTTGGGCCATCTTGGGGCTCCCTGGGCCGTCTGGGGACGCGCTTGGAGGCCTGCTGGGCCGTCCTGAGGCGGTCTTTTGGGTCTCTTCGGCCGTCTTGGAGCGTCAGCTAGCCTAGAAGGCGAGAAGGCAAAACACCTGCAACAAACATTGACAATTAAAGATTTTGGCCTCTGGGCCTTGGGGGCCTCTTGGGGGCCTCTTGGGGGCCTCTTGGGCCGTCTTGGGGCGGTCGTGGGGACCTGGAACCAGCTTCTGCGCCATATTCCCGACAAGCAGCGCCTGCTAAAAGTGAGTGTTGTTTTTCTTCGGGAAAACAATGATTTTCGCCTCTGAGGGCCATCCTTGGACGCCTCTTGGGCGTCTCTGGGGCCGTCGTGGAGGCCTCCTGGGCCGTCTTGGGTTTGTTTTCGGCGGTCTTGGGCACTCCTGGAGCGCTCTTGAAGTCTTGGGTGTGTGGGGCCGTCCTGGGCGCCTCCTATGAGCCTCATGGGGCCGCCTGGGGGCCGTGTTGGGCGCCTCTTGGGTCTCTTGACGCTCTCTCGGGCCGGTTTTCGTGCCTCTGGGGGGCCTCCTGGGCCGTCTTGGGGCGGTGTTGGGGGCCTCTTGGGCCGTCGTATGCGCCATGAAACCCGGAAAGCCGGAGATGCTGACATGTGTACGGTTTCCGTCGGGAAAGCGATAGTTGTGGCCTCCTGGGGCTCTCCTGGGAGCGCTCTTCGCCGGAAAACATTGATTTTCGCCTCTGGGGGCCATCCTTGGACGCCTCTTGGGCGTCTCTGGGGCCGTCGTGGAGGCCTCCTGGGCCGTCTTGGGTTTGTTTTCGGCGGTCTTGGGCTCTCTTGGAGCGCTCTTGGGCCGTCTTGGGTGTGTGTGGGGTCGTCCTGGGCGCCTCCTGGGAGCCTCTTGGGGCCGCCTGGGGGCCGTGTTGGGCGCCTCTTGGGTCTCTTGACGCTCTCTCGGGTCGGTTTTCGTGCCTCTGGGGGGCCTCTTGGGCCGTCTTGGGGCGGTCGTGGGGACCTCTTGTCCCGTCTTGTGCGCCATATACCCGACAAGCAGTGCATGCTAAAATGTGTCGTTTTTTTTTTTTTTGTGTGTGTGTGTGGAAAAGCAATGATTTGGGACTGTGGGGGCCATCCTGGGGCGCCTCTTGGGCGTCTCTGGTGCCGTCGTGGAGGCCTCCTGGGCCTTGTCGGGGCCGTTTTCGACGGTCTTGAGCTCTCTTGGAGCGCTCTTGGGCCGTTTTGGCGGGGTCTGGGGCCGTCCTGGGCGCCTCTTGGGCCGCGTGAGCGCCTCTGGGGCGTCCCCGGAGCCACTGTGGGGCATTGTAAGGCGATCAAGACAGGGACCCTTCCCGCACGCGCGGGTCCCTGCATTGTAGAAAAGACTAGGGCGAACCCGTGGACTTCGTCCACGTCATCTTGGACCAATCTTGGCTCGAATAGGCCGTGTTGGGCCTGTCTTCGCTCGAACTGGCGAGAAGGTGGAAATCGTTCAGGAACCATAGAAGAATCAACGATTTCGTTTGCCGCGGCTCGTCTGGAGCGTCTTCGAGCGGTCTTGGGCCGTCTCGGAAGCCCTCTTGGACAGCTTCCTTCCCTTCGTCCGCCTTCCGCTCTATCTCCGCCTAGACAGCCGTCGGAGCGTCACAGACGGCTATGGTGGGTCTGCGGTGTACGTCTCGCCGCTTGTCAATTTTGAAGGCACCTGGGGCCTTGAAAAAAGTCACCCGGAGGGCTCTGGTGACTTATTTCCTGTTGCCTCTTCGAAGCCTGATGGCGAGCGCTGCCGTCTCCGTTAATGGGCCTCTCGGGGTTTCTTTTCGAGCGCCTGGAGGCCTGTTGGGGCCTCGTTGGCTGTCTTGCGGCCTCCTAGGGGCCTCTTGGGGCCCTCTTGGGCTGTCTTGCGGCCTCCTGGGGGCCTTTTCTCTTGAATTTTTTGGGGGCGCTTCTGGGGCCGTTCCCGGGCTGTCCCCCCGAGCCTCTTCAGGGGGACAGCCCAGGAAATCTATTGTGCTTGCGTGCTGTGCGTGCGTGCTCTTGTGTGAGAGGTCGGAAGGGTGTCCCGACGTCACCGCTCGCTCTTGGGAGCTGTGCCTGGGAGAGCTCTCTACGCTGCGTCTCGCTCTTGGGAGCCTTGGTGAGCAGAGCTTTGTACTTCACCGATCGCTCTTTTAATGGGCGTCTCTGGGCCTGCTTGGTGGTCCTTGTGGGAGGGTCTTTTTCGGGCCATCTTGATGCTTTTTGGGGCTGCTCTGGGAGGCCTTGGACCGTCTTGGAGCTCTCTTGAGGCTGCCTGAGGCCATCTTGGGAGCCTCTTGGGGCCCCCTCGGAGCTCTCTTGGGGCCGTCTTGGGGTTCTGTGGTGAGGCCGTTGCAGGGCTCTCTGGCGTCGTCTTGGGGCTCTTGCGGGCCGTCTTGGAGCCCTCTTAGGGGCCGCTGGCGTCTTCTTGGAGCGATTTCGGAGGCCTCTTGGCGTGTCCTGGGCCGCTGAAGAGCACACACGGCGGGCATGCTGAAAATATACGTTTTCCCTCCGGAATTCTGACGATTTGTGCCTCTTTGGCGTGCGCTCGGGGCCCTCTTGGGGCGTCTTTGCGGCCTCTTGGATCGTCGTGGAGCCCCCCCCGGAAGGCTTCGGGCCCTCGTGGGCCGTCTCGGGACCCACTGAGGCCGTCTTGGAGCGCTCTTGGACGGTCTGGGAACCCCTCTGGAGCGCCTCTGGGACCGGCCTGAGCGATTCGGCCCCGTGGTGGCGCCGTAAAGGGGCGATTTTGTGCACACGAGGCCCTGCGACATTCTCACACGCGCTTCCACTGGCCATGTAGGAGAGATGACGTTGGGCTCCAGCTTCGCCTCCCGCATCTCGCTCAACAACGCCAGCGCCCGCTGCCACTGCTCGCCCTTCTCGCACGCGCTGATCCCAGCGCTGTAGCTGACTAGGGCAGACCTGTGGACTCCGTCCACGACATCAGCTCGACGTGGCGAGGGATCTCTGGGCAAGCGCGGGGGGGTGCGGCTGCAGGGCCGAAAGGCAATCATGATGGCGTCGGGCTCCAGCTTGGCTTTCCACATCTCGCAGTGCAGCGCCAGGCCCCTCCTCCTCCTCCTCCTCCTTCTCCTCCTCCTCTTCCACCTTCTCCTCCTCTTTCGCTCGATTCTCCATGCCCTCGGTCGGCAATCGTCGATCCTACGACGACTCTCCCCAACAGAGAAACATCGAAGGCCCTCGGAGCGTCCAACATTGTTCTTTTGTGCCTTCGATATGCCGGTCGCCTCTCGTCCGCTCCCCCCCTCCTGGAAGCAATTCTGAGGCCACTTCGGGCTTCGTGGGGGCCGTTTGGGGATCTCTTGGGGCGTTTTTGCCTGCGATATGCCTGTCGCCTCTCGTCCGCTCCCCCGCTCCTGGAGGGAATTCTGAAGCCACTGAAGGCTTCGTGGGGGCCTCCGTTTGAAGAGCGCGTCACGGAGGACCTCGAGCGTGGAGCCTCGAGGATCCAAGTTCGGAGGTCCGACGAGACAAACATCTAAGGCCCTGGGAGCGTCGAAAACGCCTCTTTTGTGTCCGCGATATGCCTGTCGCCTCTCGTCCGCTCACCCCCTCGTGGAGGCATTTCTGAAGCCACTTAGGGCCTCGTGGGGGCCCTTTCGAGGGGCTTCTTTTGGGTCTCCTGGGGGGCTCTGGAGCCCTCTTGGGCCGTCTTGGGTGCCTCTTGGGCCGTCTTGGGACCGTCTGAGGCCGGCTTCGGCGCCTCTAGGGCTCTGTTGGGCCGTCTTGGGCCGCTCCTGGGGCCGTATTGGGTGCCTCTTGGGCTGTCTTGGGCGCCTCCTGGGCCGTCCTGGGGCCGTCCTGGGCCGTCTTGGGGCCGTCTTGGGGCCCTCTTGGCCTGTCTTGGGGCTCTCTTGGGGTCCTCTTCGGCCGTCTTGGAGCGGTCTGGGGGACGTCTTGGGCCGTCTTGGAGCGTCGGGAAGCCGAAAAGGCGAGGAGGCCGAAACCATCGAAAAACACAATGGAAATCGACGGTTTCTGCCGCTCGGGGCCCTCTTGGGACGCCTCTTGGGAGGCCTCTTGGGGAGTCTTGGAGGCCTCTGGAGCCGTCTTGGGCCAATCTCGAGCGTCTTGGGCCCCTCGCTGGGCGTGCCGGGGCCCTCCGGGGCCGTCTTGGGGGCCTCTTGGGGCCCTCTTGACGTGTCTTGGGGCCTCCCGGGGCGGCCCGGGGCCAGCCCGGGGCGGTTTCGGTGCATTGGGGCCTGCGCCCTTCTGGCACGCACTGGGCCCTGCAATGTAATAGAGACTAGGGCTGACCTGTGGACTACCGTCCACAAATGCCAAGAAGTTTTGGGAGTGCGCTTGCTGCTGCGCAGTGCTTCAGGGCGAGCTGGGTGCTCGATGATTCTGTCGGCGCCGAAAGCATCGTTTGCAGCAGCATCGGATATGGCAGCATCGGCAGGAGCCCGAGAGGGGGGTGGAGGGACGTCACCGGCAAATGACGCCAGGCATTGTGCCGAGGGAGCCGAGGGCATTGAGGAGGAGGAAAAGGTCGAGGGAGGAAGTGCAATCAGTATGGGAAAAACCAAGCCCCGCACCTCCTGGGACACGCGCCGTGTGGGAGGGGTCCCGGAAAAAGCGTTCCATGGGTGTGGCGGATCCGTCTGGAAGCGGATTCGGCGATCCCCTCCCGAGCGAGAGGCGTCCCAAGAGGTGCGGGGTGTGTGTTTTTCCAATCCGGCGTGGCTTCAAAAAGATATGAAATTTCAGAACACCCTGGGGGGAGGCCTCGTTTGCGCATTGGGAGCTGTTTCAGCGTGCCTCCCGGGTTTTTTGAGGGTCTCTCGGGGCCTTTCGGGGTCGAAAGATTAGATACATTGTAGTAGAGATGGCACCATCTTCGCCGCCCGCATCTCGCTGTTCGTGATCACCTGGCCGGGAGCGTGTGGCGCAGGCGGGGTTGTCTCGTCGTCGTCGTCGTGGGTGACTGCTTCCCTTTGTGTCTCCTCTTACGGCTGCTCCTCGCCTCCTCTACGTTCTCCACCCTCTTCTCCCTCCCAGCTTCCTTGCATCCCGACTTGACCCTCTCCTTGTCGTCTGGTTCCCAGCTCTCGGCGTCTGCGTCTCGTGCACTTGTTTCGCACACTCTGGATGGAAGGGGCGGGGCGTGGGATGGCGCGGTACGGCGAGGGGGGTTAAAGGGTTGAGAGCAAGGAAGGCAGGAGGGAGGCATGAGCGGAAGGGTGGCTGGGAAGAGCAGCGGCACGGTTTGGGGGGAGGCGGGGAGGGATGAGGCAGGAGGGGCGAAGCGGCGGGGCGATCAGGCAAAGGGGGAAGCTCGCGTCAGGGACGGCACGGAAGGGCGTGGTGACCCAGGCGCTCGCTCTTTTGGCATGGCAGCGGGGTCGGGTCCTCAATACTGGGCGACGAGCAGGTCCTTCAGGCAGCGGCGTCTGCTCACCACCGGAGCACGAATGCTACTCGGCTTTCCCGAGAGGAACCTCACGGCATGCTCGTGGTGGACAGCCTGCAGCATGTGGGAGCCGTTGTGCTGCCCTTTGCCCTGCGCCTTGTCGCAAGTGGGAGGTTCACGAGGGCACGCCCTCAGTCGAAATGCACATGACTGGGTAGACCTTGCGGAAAGTCGTGATGAGGTTTCGGAACTGGGACCAATTGATGGGGATGGGTTTCGGCTGCGAACTATCCAGTCTCCACAACCTTCCCTCCTGCGTGCGGATGGCCGACCAGTGGACGTTGTTCTCGTTGATGAGGGCGCCTACAACATCCGGTGCGTATATCCTCAGCATGGACTCCTCGGCCTCGAGGAAAGGGTTGTTCAAGTTGAGTTCGTAGAGGTTGTGGTGCCACTGGAGGGCGAAGGAGAGCAGCGCCTCGGAGTAGTTTCCGTCTCCGTCAATGTGGGCGTCACTGTGCTCTATGTTTCCTTCTCGGGCGCTCTGCTCAAGGTACAGGGCGCACGCTTGCCGCAGGAGGCCTTCGTTCAGCAGCTGGTAACCGACTGCATTGTTAATGGCGTGCAAGCCGCAGCGAGCGCCGCGTTGCCGTTCAAAATGGCCTTGGAATCGTTGCGGGGCGTCGTCTGCAGCCGAGTCGCCGGCATTGGCGACGCCTTCAATCTCGCCAGGCACGTCCTCGAAGGGCAGGGCGGTCCCGCGCGCCGGCGCGCTCGGCGCGGCGACGGTATCTGGCGGATGCATCGCAGAGCTGAAGTGTGCGTTGCCAGACGGTGCAGTGGATAGCACTACGCCGAACTCGTCCGCTTCCGTGGCCACGTCGTCGGTGTTCGTCTGGCGGGGGCTCTGGTGAGGAGTGGGGGGCGCCCCGCTTGCTTCGTCGATGAAGTCTCCGAAATCAGGCCGAGGTTGTTCAGGATCGAAGCTACGTGCAGTGTTGTCGTGCTTGAAGGGGGGCGTTCTGCCGCGCATCTGCAGGTCCGTTTGGTCACGGGCGTGCGCTTGTGCGTGCTCCAATAAAACTTCTGTCCAAACGACGTTGTTGGTGTAGGTGCCTGCGTCGGCGTCGGCCACCTCGCTCCGGTAGCCCTGTTCGTCAGTGTCGTTTACCAGCACCAGCATGTCGCGGGAGCTCCCCACCCGACTGAGCGCCACGTAGAGTTGTCCGTGTGAGAACACGGGCTGCGGGAGATACAGGGCGACCTTTTTGAGGCTCTGCCCTTGGGCCTTGTTGACTGTCATGCACCAAGCTAGCTTCACTGGGAACTGCGTCCTCCTGAGGATGAAGGGGAGATCTGGGTTCTTGGGCGCCAAAGGGAGGCGCGGAATGAATGCGCGCTGCCCAGCCTTGCTCCCGCTCACGAGCACCACCTCGAGCACTCGCGGTGCCGCGCGGAGAATCACGGCGCGCACCCCGTTGATGAGCCCCTCGTCTGGGTTCAGGTTTCGTAGCAGCATGACAAGCGCGCCGGGCGCGACTGTGAGCGCATGCGGTGGGAGTCCATTCGGAGATAGGGAATTGAGGAAGTCCACGGGCCAAAGATTGCGCTCTTCGGGTGTGCCCGCGTCTATGTCATCGATGCTGTAGTACGTCACTTGCGTGCTTGCAGGCAGCGCCTCCAGCAGCGTGGCGTTCACTGCATCAGCCACGGCGTTCGTTGGGGCGAGGATTGCGCGGTCTCTGAAGTAGCACAAGGGCTCGGCAGCGTCCGGGGCCGCCACGATGGCCTGTGCCTGTGTTGGTAGATCTGGGAACACGTGCCCGGCCAAATCGGCAGGGCCCCATCCCGTTGGCGCCACAATGTCCTCCCGAAGGCGGATAGCCTGAGGTCCTATCTCCGTCGCAAATGGGGTGGACCCGTCCCCGACGTCGAGCAGGTAGCGTTGCCATCCCTTGTCGAGGGCTGCGCGCATGTTCTCCACTAAGTGGAAGATCTCCACGCGCCCTGTTCTCCACGGGTCGCTGTTCTTGAGGGAGTGCTCGACGATCTCGTCCCTCGACGCGCGGGGCATGACCGGAAGGACCTGGCGGAAGTCACCTCCGAAGACGACCACTTTGCCTCCGAACATGACCTCCGTGCCCATGATGTCCTGAAGCAACCGGTCCACGCATTCAACGGCTTCTCGTGGTGCCATTGGGGCTTCGTCCCATATGACTATGCTCGCTGCCTTCAGAACAGAGGCTCTGTTGGAGTTGGCGGCGATGTTGGATTGCACGTCCTCTGTCGGCATGGGCACGGGCAGTCCGAACCGGGAATGGCAGGTCCGACCTCCCGGGAGGAGCACGGCGGCGATGCCGCTCCAGGCGCACGCCAATGCAACCTTGCTCTCGCTACGGACCGCGTGCAAGACGGTTTCGTACAAGAACGTCTTCCCGGTGCCCCCCGGACCGTCTATGAAGGCGACGAACGGGGTCTCAGCTGCGACAGCTGCCAGGATAGCCTCGTACGCGCCGAGCTGAGCTTCGTTCAGCAACGCTCGCTTCGCAGCGGCTGCTTCGGCTTCGTCGCGCGGCACGTAGTCGAGCTCTCGTTGGAGGTCGCGGTTCTGGGGTCCGGAAGCATCCGTGGCTTTCGGCGCGGGCAAGCCGAACTCGGACAACAACTTGCCAGCCTGTAGGCGCGCCGGGATCAGCAGGGGGCTGGTCGGCCCGCTGTCGCGTGCGAGGTAATTGGGAAAGGGGCGGGGTGCACGCGGCAGCAGTCGACACGCCCCCCACTGTCCTGGCACAAAGTGTCCTGGAGCGCCTGCAAGCACATGTTCTGGGCTTCTTCTGTAGAGTGGTCCCTGGCGAAATCGTCGGCGAGGTCGTCGGCGAACTCCTCGAAGAGTGCGAGTGGGTTGGAGACGTCCGCGTGCAGAAGGGCCATGGCGAAGAGTGTTCGAAGCGCCCGCGCATGCTTCGTGTGAGCTGCGTCTGCCAGAGCGAATTTGTACTCGTCGTCACTGGTCGTGAGGCCTCTTGCCTGGCACGCGGCCTTGTAATCGGGAATGCCTGTGGGTTTCCAAGCCAAAGTGCCGGGGCACCACGCAAGCGTTTCGAAGAATCGCCGGTCTCCGTTCTCAGCGGTCGCGGTGACGAGGTCTTCCCAGCAACGCGCCCCAGGTGTGTGCAGCAGCAGGAGGTACAGGTACCAGCGAGGGCCTTCAGACGGAACAGCGGCGTGAAGACGGCCGAGAACCGTCGGGCATGGCACCTTGCCGCGACGGCGACGCCATGAGCGAGTTGGTCGGTGCCATGTAAAGTAGCACGGGATATCAGCGTATAGTAATTCTCGGGCGATCGGCAAGTCTCCGTCGGGCTCGTTCGCGTTAAGCTCAAACCAAGCAGTCAGTGTGGTTTTGGAATCAGCTCGGAGGGCCTCAGCTTCGAGTCCGGATTGGAACGTCACTTGCTCTCCCCCTTTAAGGTGCACAGCCAGCCGTTCCACGGTGTGGGATTCCTCGTGTAGCCTGAAGCTCAGGAGGCGCCAGCACGCCTCGGGTGGGCCAACGTACCGCGTGTCCAAGAACGCCGCGATCTCGTCGAAGCCCAGCTCCACGCGGGCCCGGTCGTGTCCTTTGTAGGTGTATTTGTACAGATCCGCTGCCGCGCCTTGAGCGCGTGGTTGGTGTGGTGCAGGCTTGCCCAGGCACTGAAGCACAGGCGTGCTGGTGTCTTCGAAGCCCTGGGCTTCCGGTCCTCCGTGCAAGTGGGCTCTTGCGGGCGCTCAAGCGTTTCTGCGTGTTCTTATCGGGGAGGGAGGAAGAGGCTATCTGTGTGTCTCTTGTACGCGAGCCCCACCCCCCCTTCCTCTGTGTACACCAGGTGGCTGTGGCGGTGATTTCAGGTATTCTAGGGGAAATCTCCGGAATTCAGGAGGTGCCCGAAGCGCTTTCGGAAATGGGGGGAATGCCTGAGACCGGGTGAAGATGGCCAGCTGGGCGTCAAGTCGCGCCCAAAGAGAGCGCCTGGAGAAGACCTCCATACACTGCCCAAAAACCAGAGTGGCCCGAGTCTTCCTGGAGATTACGTCGGGCGGTTGCGCGATATTTTTCCCGGCAGGGGGCGCCGCGGCGTCGAAGGCGATCGAGGGGGCCCCCGTCACGGGCCCATTGGTCCAGAAGTTTGAGGCTGGGCGGCCCTAGCCTTAGCAGAGGATGCCGCGGGGCCTTCGCGAGACCTCCCAGAGATAGGCGTCAGAGAGAGGCGTCAGGGGGGTTAGAGTGTCAGATGGGTCAGGGGAGGCGGCTTCGCGCGCGCAGGGGCGCTTGGTCCCCATCCGAAAAGGAGCCCATGGAGGTGGCAGCATCCTTCCCCGGAGCCCCAAAGGAGGCCTACGAAGGATTCGCGAAGCTGAAAAGAACGCCTGGGGAGGGCCGGGGCGTTCTCAGAAGCGGGGGGTTCATTACCCTGCTGTTCTGACGGGCGCCCCGAGGAAGCCGAAAAGGCGTCCTTGACGACTCGGACGCTGACCCCAGACACGGGCGCGGAACGGGCCGCAGGCTAATGGATACTTGACGCTCTTGATTGACGCACAGAATTCCAGGTTCAAGTGACATGCCAATTTCCTGCTGAGGACGGGGTTGTACGGAACCACGTCGCGTGCATCCACAGGAAAGCCGTTCTTGACTGCTGTCGGCGACGCTGGTCGCCGGCGGTATTTCGGGTACCCGTTCACGTGGAGCTCCGTGGTGTCCTGGAAATCTTTGGGATATTTCTTGCAGCAAGTGCCTCCTTCCATGCAGGGGGCTCTGGGGTTGCGAGTGCCGCAAGGCCCGTGTAGCTGCGAGCCCAAGATGATGCTGCGGAGCTGCGGCTGGGTCTCGCAGGGGATCTCCGCCGAGATGCGGTCGTCGATGTCTGCTGGGGTTTGCGGCTTGTCTGTGGGGCGCATGACGAGGAGCACGTGTGCGTGGGGGAGGCCCCGCTTTTGAAACTCAATGACCCAAGTGTAGGCCACGACCACGCCCAACGCGTGCTTCTTGAGGAGGAGGTCCATGAGCTCAGCAAACTTTATTCGGAAAACTCGCGCCACTATGTCAGGTCTGTCGGAGGCCGTCTCGCGTCCTCTCAAGCAAGACTGGATCTCGAGCCACGCAGGGTTGGCAGTGATCGTCAAGAAGAAGTCGGGCTTCCCGTACCGTTTAACAATGGTCATCGCATCTAAGTAGTGCTGGTGCATGGAGCGTGGCGAGCCGACGAAGGTTGGCGGTAAAATGACCTTTTTGCCGATCTTGGTGGTCCCTGCAACGTAGTTAGGATCGTGTATGGCGTCGTGCAAGCCCTGGTATGTGTCAGCGCGTATGTCGTCCTGATGGTGCCTGATGTAGGAGAGCCGAGCGGCCTCCGCCCGACTCCAGACGTCGCAAACCCACATCTGAAAGAGGAGCCCCGCTGAATGTGGGAGCGATGGCTCCGTGCACGGCCATGGCGCATCGGCGGGAGTTGCGCGGTCAGGCTCGTAGTCACGCATCATAAGCCTGAACGCGTAAAACTGAGCGCACGTCATTCTGGTGTGTTTCTCAGTCTGGCGCCCGCCGTGTCGGAGGCCCGGGTGCCATCCGGGGTCTCCGTAGGGAAACAGCAGCGGGTAAGCAAGCGGGTCGACGTGTTCGCTGTCCTCGTGGATCCTGTGAGCTTCGTACCCCTCCTCCCGCGGCCAGACGACAATGTCCTTGGAGTGCCTGTGGGCGCCGTCGCCAGATGCAAATATCACTGCGGGTTCCAGCGTCTGCGGCTTGTTGTACCTCCTCATGTCGTTCTCTTTACTGGCTGCGAGTGCGAGCTGCACGGTGGGGGCGTGGTGCTGCTGGGCGATTGTCTGCATCTGGCGGTACGTCTGCACATAGGGGCACACCCGCGTCATCATGGCGGCGAATCGGCGGAGCCAGTCCGCGTCGAGGTTCTCGTAGTACGCGTTGCCTTGCCTGTGCTGCGTGGCGACGTTGTGGTCGTACAGGTAAAGCTGCGCGCACTTCGGCGTCGCCCCTTCTTGGGGGAACAAGAAACCAGCGTTGTGGTAGACAGTCCCATGGCAAATCATCACAGGCGGGCCTCTCCCCGATGCCAGCGTGTCGAAGCATTCGGAGCCGTAAGACACAAACGAGAAGGCGTTGTTGTACAGCTTGAGGCTGGCGGCAGCTGTTCGCGCAGTGGCACTGCCCCCTTGTAAAAGTTCGAGAAGTTCGGGCGGCGGTTGCGGCAGCGTCCTCTGGGTCTGAAAGTAGATGGCGGGGTTGCCGCCGACGGGGGTGTGGGGGATTGAGACGAGCTCACGGGGGGGGTTCGCGAGTGGGCGGGGCGTCGTCCAGGTCGAGATGGGAGAGCGCGCGTGCGCGAGATGATGGGGTCGTATCAGAAAAGAGGGGGGCTCGTGTGGCATTACACCCCAGTCTCCTGATCTGCTTAGTGGTGAGCTTGCCGTTCTGGCAGCAGATGCTGAAGTGCTTGTTCTTGATTAGCTCCTCGGAGAAGTTGTAGGCGCCGCAGTGCTGGCACTGGTGCGTCATGGCACTGCCGCGGTGGGGCAGCACGTTGTCGTCGGAGTGCCTGCACAGGTCGAGCACTGCCATCCGCTCACCGCGGAATTGTCTCGCGTGGGCGTCGCAGTACGGGACGCCTAGGAGCGTAGTGGTAGCTGGGGCGTGGCACCTGGTCGGCCATTGGCAAGCCAATGCAGGTGGGGGGGCGTCTGGCGGGACTGTGGGGGCAGTTTTCCTGCGCAGTCGCCGCGGGACGGGTTGGGCTTGCGAGGTGGCGGCCGCGTCCTGCGCTGCGTGGTCTTGGAAGAGCGCGAGGTAGTGGTCCCGACAGTAGTGAGTGCCGGTAGCTGCGAGCCGAACTGACGCAGGCGCCCCGCACCGTTTGCCAACGCCAGGGTCGAGGAGGTATGGACACGTCGGCATGTCAGCGGGGGTCCACTCCCAACCAGGAAGGGACTGGAGTTTCAGACGCTTCTCTGGGGGGTAGGTCGCGGGGGCCCTGTGGAATGCGTCGCGTTCCCGTTTCAGCCACTTCCACAAACGACGCTCCGCGGGTGCGTAGCGAGATGCAGGAGGCATGGCGGGGTAGGTGTCGCGGTGCTCCTGAAGCCAAGCTTCCAGCTGGGAGAAGCCGTCTTCCCAACTGAGGGCGTAGTCGTGGTCACCCCATCCGGGGAGCTGTGCCAAGGAGGCGCGTTGAGCGGCAAGCCTTTTCGCCTGCGCTGCTTCGCGCTTTCCTTTGGGGGTGATCTTCCTCCGCTGGTTATCAACAAAAGCAGCCAGACGCAATTCCTCCCGAGAATCAGAACGACGGAAGCAAGGGCCCCCAATAGACGTCGCGCGCTGCCAGCTGGAGTGTCTGGAGGGGTCGCATGCACGGGCGGAGGTGCGCCTGTGCGAGACCGCGGAGGATTGGGCGGGGACGAATAGTTGCGCACAGAGTCTATTTGGAGCCCGAGCGTCGCGCCGTTCGGGATGCATGGGAACCCCGCGTGGGGTACCGTCCAGCGTGGTCGTCGAGCCATGTACGTAAAGATTCAAACGTGCTCCTCCAGGCATCTTCTCGGTGATCCCAAGACCAAGGACTACATTGTTGCAGGAGTTGAATCCGGGCTGGCGGCAGGCGGCCGCGCTTGTACCTTTTGCGTTGCTGTATCATCCATGCTGCCTGTTGTCTCTCCTCTGGCTGCTGTGCCGCGGCTGCACTAGGCAGCCGCCCCTGCGTGCGCACCCAGGCTTGGAAGCTGCGGAATGCGTCGTCCCAGTCGGTGCTTTCCCAAGTCCATGAGGCCCATTGGTCTAGGTCGCGTTTCTGTGAGGGGGTCAGGCGACTCGTAGCATACAGGGTTCGTTGCTTATGGATCCACTCTCCGAGGACAGTTTCTGCTTTGTCGCCTCGTCTCCGCCGTGGCATGCGGCCAGTAGCGTGGTGAAACTCTCGCACGGCCTGGAAACGTTGGGTCCACAGCGTCCGGAACTTCTCGAGCGGGCCTGTCGCTGCCGGCCTTTTTGCAATGCGTTTTGGAGCCATGCTGCGCCGGGGCTCGCGTTGTGGAGCCCGCGCTCAATGGGGGAGCGCGGGGTGTTGTCATCTCGCACGCTGGAGCTGCAAATTGAGGCTACGGAAGCACATGCAAAGGAGGGGGAAGACAGGAGGCAAGGGGGAGCAGGAGAGGGAGCAGGGGCAGGGAGAGCTGGGTGATGAAGTGCAAGGGGGCGGGCATGAAGAGCTGGAAGGGGAAGCAGGGACAGGAGGACGAGGAGATGCAGGAGAACAAGCAGCATCAGCAGCCTGCAGGAGAGAGAGGAATATGCAGCGAGGAGGAGGGCCATGATGACACAGGCTTCTGTGAGGAGACGATCTTACTCACGTTTCTTGTGACAAGCGGCGCGTGACAGGGGTCTCAGCATAAGCGTCCCCCAAGTCTCCCTGAGCCGACTAGGTACTCACGTTTCTTGTGACAAGCGGCGCGTGACAGGGGTCTCAGCATAAGCGTCCCCCAAGTCTCCCTGAGCCGACTGTAGGTCACTTCGTGCTCTTAGCCTTCCCAGACCTCCATTCCCGGGCCACAAGCTGAATGCCTGGGGTCAACTGTAGGCCACTGCGTTCTCTTCGATTCCCAGAACTCCATTCCCGGGACGCATTTTGATGCTGATGCAGAGACTGGGAATGGTGATGCTGAGGCTGAGGCTGAGGAGGAGGAGGAGGAGGAGGTGGAGGAGAGAGCAGGAGGAGGAGGAGGAGGAGGAGGAGGAGGAGGACGTGGAGGAAGGAGGAGGAGGAGGAGGAGGAGGAGGAGGAGAGGAGGAGGAGGAGGAGGAGGAGGAGGAGGAGGAGGAGGAGGAGGAGGAGGAGGAGGAGGAGGAGAGGAGGAGGAGGAGGAGGAGTAGGAGGAGGAGGAGGAGGAGGAGGAGGAGGAGGAGCAGGAGGAGGAGGAGGAGGGAGGAGTAGGAGGTGGCAGGAGGAGGAGGAGGAGGAGGTGGCGGGGCCGCGTTGGGGTGAAAAAAACCATACCCCGCACCTCTTGGGACACCTGCTGTGCGTCAGGGGTCTCGAAAAATGGCCCGCGGCGCTTCCTCGCGGGTTCCTGGTCTGCTTTTTGCGTGACCCCTACCGCGCGCGGGGTGTCCCAGGAGGTGCGGGGTGTGTGTTTTTCCATACGCGGCGCGCTGCCCCTTCGGCGCCTCGGGGGCTCGCGTCGTCTAACTCCCGAGCACTGCTTTCCGCCGCTTTATTGCAGGCTCTGCCAGCGGTAACAGACGGCATAGGAGCCAACAGGAGTCAACAGGATCGGGGAGAAGCAACCTCAGCTGCAGGAGCATGCGAGGTAGAACGATAAGGGGTCATCGGAGAGGACGACGGAGACGACGGAGCGATCTGGGGGGACAGCTGCGTCCCGCATCCGTCGGTGCACGCCGCGAGCGAGAGGGGTGCCTGAAGAAGCCTTCCCGGGCTTTCCCCCTCCTCTCCGACTTCGTGCTCTGATTTCCTTCCCTCGTCCTCCTTGTCCTTCTCCTCCTCCTTGTTCTCCGCCTCCCTCTCCTCTCCCTCCTCCTCCTCGTCTTCCTCCTTCCCCCCCTCCGCCTCTACGTCCTCCTCCTGCTCCTCCTGCGTCCAGGAAGTTCTGCCAGCTGTAACAGACGGCACAGGAGCCCGCAGGAGCCCACAGGGTAGGGGAGAAGCAACCTCAGCAGCAAAAGTAGGCGAGGTAGACCGATCAGTGGACACTTGACAGGACGACGGTGATGACGGAGCGATCTGAAGGGAAAGCCGCGACCCGCATCTGTTGGTGCACGCCGCGAGCGTGCGGGGGGCCCGAAGAAGCCGTCGCGGGCGTTTGCGCCCAGGTCCAGGGGCTATTGTTGCGAGGTCCTCTCGCGGGAGAAGTGTTTCATGACGCGGCGAAGATGTGTTTTCCCTGGCAAGCTCCCTATCTGATCTCCGCCGCTGCTTGGGGACAAGTAGACTCGATCCGGGCGCAGCAACTGAATGCCCACGCCTGGCGCAGGAACTGGATGCCCACGCCAGTAAGGAAGTAGCATCGAACCTGGCGCAGCCACTGAATGCAACTCAATGTGTGCAGCCGCGGGTTCTCCGCCGCTGCTGGTGGAAAAGTAGCACCGATCCGGGCGCAGCAACTGAATGCCCGCGCCTGGCGCAGCAACTGAATGCCCACGCCATTAAGGAAGTAGCATCGAACCTGGCGGAGCACCTGAATGCAACTCAGTGCTTGCAGCCCCGGGCGCGCGATCTAGAGCGCTCGCGCATCAGAACAAAAGGTACTGGAGGGCTGACGCCGGAGGTGAGGACGTTCTGTTGAGGCTCTGCAGTGCTGCTAAAGCCCTTTGCGCCGCCAGGGCAGTGGCTTCACTGCGCGCTGGCGCCGATGATATTCGTGAAGATGTTGGTTTTGTCCGAGATCTCCGTCAGAAGCTCGAGCACTTTGCCATCCTGCGGCACCGTGTCCCAAGGGATGGTGATGTGGCACACGACGTTCTCCAGCACGGAGTTGAAGACGTTGAGGGCGAAGGCGTAGTTCGTCGGGTTGCTCATGTCAGTCATGTCCTCGGGCAGCACTCGGAGATTGTCGGCCACGCGGGGGAGTCCGGCGACGTCGAACTTTTCTCTGAATGGGTAGGTCCTCCCGTCCCACGCCAGAACCACGGTGTTCGCGTCCACTATGTCGACGCTGGCCATGACGATGCGGTTGCTGAAAGGGGGCGGCGCCTGGAGGATGCTCAAGGGAGGGGGGCCCGCGTCGGTGATCATCGTCGTGGAGATGCTCATGTCGTC